AGAGGAAGAAAGTAAAGGAGATAAAGAGAATAATGAAGAGAAAAGGGATACAGAAGAAATAGAAGAAAATATAAAAGAGGCAGAAAATGAAGAGGACAAAAATATGGAAGAGATGATAGATGAAAAGATAGAAAATATGGAAGCAATAGATAATGAGAATAATATAGAAAATATACTGTATATATAATAGACAATGATGAAAATGAAATAAAAAATATAGGTATGATAGATAGTGGAATAAAATATATAGTAGTGATAGATAATAAGGATGTGACTGCAAATATAGAAATAATAAATGATGAAAATGAGATAAGTAATATGGAAGTGATAAATAATGAGAATGAGGTAGGAAATATGGAAGCGATAGATGATGAAAATAAGATTGAAAATATGAAAGCAATAGATGATGAGAATAAAACAGAAAATATAGAAGTGATAGATGATAAAAATGAAATAGGAAATATGGAAGCAATAGATGATGAGAATAAGATAGAGAATACATATATAATAGATAATGATGAGAATAAGATAGAGATAGTATATATTATAGATGATGATGATGAGAATAAGATAGTAGAAAACAGTAATATAGGAATTGAGAGAGAAATAAAGATATTTGAAATTATCGAAATAGAAGATGACGAGTAAGCACTAAAGGTGGAAATTGAAAGAATAAGGCTGACACTTGAAATTATCAATATAGATAATGATAAGTACAAAGAAATAAAGAAACTTGAGAGAACAATGACAATATCTGAAATTATTAGCATTAGGCATCTTATTTATTAGTTGCAATCTTACTTGTGATATGCTACATTTCCTTTTAGACTAAAACAAAAGGATTTTTGTATTTATAAAATCATATCTTATTTACTTATATACACTATCTGATCATTCTGAGCTTGCTCCAAATCTTTTTTATCGTATTCGAGTTGTATTTATAAAATTCAATAAGTTAAATTGATTTTTGATTCCATAATTCGATGTATGCATTGCTATGAAACTTTATTTTGAATTTATATGCTAAAGGTACTGTACATATAAAATAGTAAATTTTATATTCATCATTCATGTGTATTATTAGTTAAACCTTACAATATTTACATAATATTTTCAATTTATAGCACATCTTAAATGTGTGCCAGTTAATATCGAGTAATTAGCTACAGTGATCAGCACCATTTAAATTCTATCAGATAGATCTCCATTTACTTATTGTATGTTGTAAATCTCTTTAAATAAAACTTTTTGCATTGTACTTTGTCAATTGTTCTGTGCTTTATAGGCTTCTATTCTTCTAATTTGTAAATTGTAGATATAACAAAATTGAAATAAAATATGCATGGACAATGTTACATGTGATTTAGCAGAAAGTGTTATTATTATTTTGTTTTTTTTAATAAGGTAGATTATATAAAAGCTTTTTTTGTTTAAAAAATTTTTTTAAACTATGCAATATATTTAACCATATTCAGTAAGTATGAAATATTATCATTGGTTTCTACTTAATTGAATTTTGATTAACTTATGCTATTGCAGCTATGGAGCCTAATCACAATGTGAAATCACCAAAAATAAGGTTCTTGCGCTGCCTGTAATAGCCATAAAGCCTAAACACAACATGAGTTCTTGCATTGCTATAGCAACCATGGAGCCTAATCTCCTTGTACTGTTTTTGTGGTTGTGGAGCTTATTATTAAACATGAGGTTCTTCACTGCCCATAACAGCCATAGAGCCTAATCACAACATGAGGTCCTTGCATTGTTACTGCAGCCACGGAGCCTAATCACAACATGAGATCCTTGTACTGCTATTATGGTTGTGGACCTATAAAAAAAAGTCAAAATTCTATTCAGATTTTGGGAGCATTTTTTTAATAAAAATCAGAACAAAATTTGAAAAAATTTTGACTTTTTTTTATAGGGGGCTCAATACCAAATATGAGGTTCTTGCATTGCCTGCGTTAGAGCCTAATCACAACATGAGGACCTTACATTGCTATCGCAGCCATGAAGCCTAATCATAACATAAGTCCTTGTGCTGTATAATACAATATCAGGTATAGCACACTTATCTCTAACTCCCTTTAAACAACTCAAACACCTAGTTTACTAATAAATTACTAAAATTTCAAGTCTATGCAAAACATTGCTGAATTAATATATTATGATAATACTCAAATGCTTTCTTTTCA